TTTTTTTTTTTTTTTTTTTTTTTTTTTTTTTTTTTGTCACGTAGGGAAATCTCACCCAGGAATCCCTGAAGGCGGAGTCGAACCCCGGTGCCTTGGGTACCACTTAGCCACTAGGCTAAGGCTGACCCGGCTCTCTTATGATAAGATAGATGCATAAATCTAGAAAGAAACAGTTTCATCCTAAATGAATATTCTATAAAAAAAATCTGTTTTATCAACATATTGGTTGAGTTGATTGGAAGTCAACCTTAATGCTTAACTTAAAGAAGATACACATATTATCGCAACTAACGACATATGATAGATTTCATTACACAAATACCAAATAAGGTCAACCATTCATCTAAAACATTACACCAAAAATTACTAAATACAACGACAGATGTGACAGAAAAAACCATGTTAATAGACAAAAATAAATGTATCGAAACAGAAAAAAAACATTGTTACATGGAAATCAAAATCTCTGGAACATAGTAAACCAGAAAAATATTTGTTGAGTTGGTTGGAAGTCAGCCTTAACACTTAACTTAAAGAAGAGACACATATTACCACAACTTACGATATTGGATAGATCTCATTACACAAATATGAAATATGGTCAACCACTAATCCAAAACATTACACCAAAAATTACTAAATACAACAACATATGTGGTAAAAAAAACCATGTTCATAGACAAAAATAAATGAATCGAAACAAAAAAGTTATTGTTACATGGAAATCAAGGTTTCTGGAACATAGTAAACCAATAAAATAACTACGGCGTAAAATACATAACATCTCACTTCAAATGAACAATAAACCAAACTTAGTCCAAATAAATAAATCTCTTTTTCTGCCCTATCACTCCTTCAATAGTCACTCCAAATCGCCTACAATCTAAACTTCAAAATCCACATGCAATTCGCTCTTACATTAAGGAAAATTAAAACAATTACCACTAAACACTAAAACAACACCCATAACTGGACCAAACAAAAGAAAAGGTAAAATATATAAATGTTTACCCTTCTTCACCACATGTTATTTGTCTTCTTCACTACACATTCAAATATCACGGGAACTTATTATTTCCTCTTCTGCATATCCAACCACAACAACCATACGACTGTAAAACTATAGAAATACACATTTATTGACCTAAATAAACCTATAATTAGTCCACTATAGTAAAGTTACAACTCAAAAATCAGAAACAAAAAAAGGAAGACCAACGTTGGAAGTTTAGAAACAGCAACCTCTCATTTCTACTAAGATACTTTTGAAAATATAGTACATTAATGCTTAATGTGACTTTCATTAAAACAAATTAGTAATTTACTATTTAGTAAAAACAACTATATATATCCTAATGAAACAATGAAACGAAAGAATACCCAACTACAAATACATTAACTTAATCTATGTTTGCTAGAAACCCGTATCAAACATCAAAATGTAACATCTCTCAACAGTACCATACAAATCAGTTAAAAGAACTGACACACAATGCAAGAGTTTATCCATATATACTATTAATTCTAGGATTACAAACAATTTTGAATTCATTGGAGAATAAAATATATGAACCCGGCGCGTAGCGCCGGAGTACCACTAGTAGCGTAATAAAATAGTGCTTGACCTATCACATATGATTTGAATGTATAATGAAGACAGATAGATACATTGTGTTTGATGATATATTAAAACTGCATGTTAGATTTATTACATTGTTAATGGAATTTGGTCGGTTAACATATGACGGAAACGGTGAGTCATGATCTTTTCATTTGTCATTTTGCTCGATTTATGGGCTATATATAGATTTTACAGGTCCAATTTTTCAGCTTTGCTTGATGTATGTTCTTGGATGAAAGCACTAAATTAAATAGGAGTCCCAGAAACTGATTCAATGGTTATTGTGGGAGTGGCGGAATGACTTTATGTTCACCGGTTTTTATTGGCTTTGTAGGTGCTGGACAAGGCCACAATGCAGCTGGGTTACGACTGGTTTGGTCTGTTGAAGTGGGGCATGTAACGAAGGGCAGAATACTAGTGGTGTTAACTATACTGTAGTTTAAGGGACGAGAAGGGTAATGATGACACTCTGGTTTGGAATGAGACCAGTTCCGAGACTGATTTTCTGCACTTATGACAGGAACTTTTGGTATATAGTGGCCAATGTTAAAAGTGTCAAGAATCTGGGATATACGATGGAAGTCTTCGAGGGAGCAGATCTCGGCTATCTGATCCAGATGTGTGGATCCGCAGGCTTTTCTTAATGGGGTAAAGTATTCTGGTTTTGATCTTGCCATGGTTGGTAATCAATATAACTCGAGCTAAACGCACAAGGTGGCTGATCTTACCACACAAACAGTGTGTCTATCGAATTATTACTTGATTGATTCTATTGTACCAAGTTGGTTATTGTCTGTGTTGGAAGCAGGTAAATAGGGTATGCCAAACATTATCTAATAATATAAATTTCAGTGATGTCAAAAAACGATCACACCAATATGTGTACTCAATGCAAGTCCTATATAAATTTCCTCAAGAAGAGCATGGTGCTAAACCGAAACTCCATCTCTATCATATTAGATTGTATACCATCTTCTATCACACAGTCTTTTGTTTCCTAACTAGATGCACTTAGAGAAACTGTAAACGGGTAAAGTAAAAGGCCCTGACTGCTACTTCGCATTTACGTTTCAGTGCTATGACAAGTAGAATGCTATAACATGGAAACACAAATGCACACAAACAATCGGGTTACTAATAGTAACTATCTAACAGTGACCTCATTATTGATATTTCTCTTATCCTATAACAATTTGACAATGTGGAGATAGATTTCCCTAAAAGTGTCAGCAATGCTTTGGAAAAATAGCTTTCTGAATATGCAGCATGGTTCCTATAAAGAGCAAACAGAACAGTATAACAACGTCGTATGTTAAAAGTTATCGCCTAGAGATCCATCTTCTTGGTTAAAATGTTTCTCAATCATATGAATGACTAACAACGAACTAGTATAGCAACCATCTGAAACTGTACTACACTGATTCAAAGTGTTCAAATCAAGGACGCAAAATGTCCAAAACACCATGACTCCGTCCAAGAAAATGTTATGAAAATAAACCCATTATAACATGAAATCACATATACAAACAACTGTAGGGAACTAATGACTGTGATCTCAAGATACGATATTTCTCTTATCCTAACAATTTGACACTATGCAGATAGACTGCCCAAAAGTATCTGAACTGACGAATAGTGAGCAATGTTGCCATTGCTTAGAAAAGAGATCCATATGTTTCTCAATCAGGTGAAGGACTAACAAGAAAGTAGTAAAGTAGTAATCAATCTGAAAATTGTACTACACTGATTCAAAGTACTCATAAAAACACAAAACGTCCAACATATCATTCATTACTCAAGTTCCACAAAATGTCTCCAAGACTAAACTCATTACCTCAAACGAGGTGAAATCAACGCCAGCTGGATGGCCAATAGGGATGAATCCCATAACCAGTCTTCCAATTATCCAAGTAAACAACTTTCTTCACAGCCCAGAAGGACACAAACAGAGCAAACAGCATCACCCCCCTCTGAACATTCAAGTTCCTAACTCGAACAAGCACATTAGTAACAAACGCCAAGAGCAACCCAACCACAGTATACAAGAACCCCACAGCGAACCCCTCAGCTCCAAGCTGCATTCCCGATCCTTGGTAGAAGAAAACGAGCTTATTCGGATCATTACGATCCTGAAGAAACATAGGCATCTTCCTAATAATGTTATGCATCGTTCCCGCCACGCTGAAGAAGTAGATAAAGATAGCACCTGATAACCAAAGCCTACTGTCATGAAGAAGAGTCTCTCCTTTCAGAATCCGTTTGATGACAAACGGAGTCGCGATAACGATCAACGCAACGATGACGCCGATCTGCGCCTTGGAGAGAAACGGTGGCCGTTGGATCGGACCTACGGTTAGCTTTGTGTGCTGCTCGACGAACTCAGCCATGGATTCAGCTAACCTAGCGAAATCAGACTGATCCATTTGACCAGATTCGTCGCTTAGTTTGGCTGTTGAACCGGATACGAGACGGATGTGAGGGAGAGCGTTGACGCCGAATCGCTGGAAGGAGGATTGGGATTTGGAGAACTCGATCTCGCAGAAGAAGAGCTTGTTTAGATCGGATCCGTTGTTGTTAGCGAGGAAAGTGGCGGAGACGAGGGCGAATTCGCGGCGGAGCTCTTGGAGACGGAGCTCGGTTTTGCTGTGGAGCTGCGTGGCGTCGAAGAAGACGAGGATCGAGTAAGGGCGTGGTGTGGGGGAGGAGATGAGGAATTTGGAGATTCCATGGTCGTCGAGGTGGATTACGCCTGATTCGGAGGTTGATCTGAGGGAAATGAGTTCGTTGACGAGATCTGAATCGGAATCTGGATCTGAGAATGATGATGTTGCGATTGAGGAGAGGGATGATATGAGGAGGAGAAGAGGTAAGAGTTTTTTATTGATCGCCATTGTCTTTGTCCAGGTGAGCTCAGATTCGGGAAAGAGAAGAGAAAGGTGGAGGAAAAGGGTTATTGCCGTTTACCGTGAAGACTCTGGTTGGAGAAGAAGGTCTACGTAGCTCTTTATTTTGCCATCTCGCTGGTTGTGCCTGATGGAAAGGTTTTATTGGCTACTGTATCCACGTGGGTCATTTTGATTCGTGGTTAAAAGTCTGCTAGCCTCTGATGTTACCCACATGGACAATTTTGATTTGTTAACCATTTTAGTTGTCTCGCCTTTTGATTTTTATACGCATTTATTTAGGGAAAATTGGTTTATAGGCCAAAAAAACGGTAACTATATACATTAGGTTAATCTCAGCCCCTAAATATTATTTGTAAAGTGATTTTAATCTACGTTATCTCTTCAATGACTTTCACTAAATTAATATAAAATGGCATATAGGAATTATGACATAGCATATAGTTTAATATGACATGAACAATTATATTTAAAGAAAATATATATTTTTGGCAAAATTTTTGTAGAATATGACAATAACTCATATATTACATTTTAATGTTATTTATATTTTTGGTAAATTTTTTATAATATGGTAATAACTCATAAAGCATCACAAAAACATATTCAATTATAACATTATAGATTTCAAAATATCATTTAATTTATTATAATTATACAATTTTTACTACTAAAACTTTCTACAATATTTAAAAATTATAAATTTTTAATCTTAATATCATTACTTTCTTTTAGATATTTATAAATATTTTTAGTTTTAATGTTGATAACTATACAATTTTTATCTTTTTAGTAATTTATACAAGTTAATTTAATATATTTAACCAAAAGAAATATATAAACAATTTATCTAAAACGTGATTATAAAAATATACATATAGATGCCTAATATGATTTAAAGTTAAAAATTATTAGTTTTTTCTCTGATTTTATGCTTAATTAAAGCAATTTTTAAAAAAAATTGGTCAAAACAATAAAATATAGAATATTAATATATTAAATTTGTAAATATAATTTAAATTTTTAAAAATTTATCACTGCACAATGTGCAGGAAAACACCTAGTATACTTTATGTCTCATCAGGCTCAATATTTTTAAAATGACAAGAATATCATTAATTTCAATTAAAAATTATATATTACAATTAACAATACAATAGTTAAATATTAAACTACAGTAAATAATTAAATTCTTGTCAAAAAATAGTTAAAATAAATTATAATAAAAGAAAACATTAAAAGTTAAAGAGTTGTCAAAAAGAAAAATAATAATTAAAGTGTTGTAAAAAATTAAAGTAAATATGTATTCTACTATATGTATATTTATAAATATTGTATTGCAATATTTTTGGAACTGATTGTCCTTATCCGTAGAAAATGTATTCTACTATATGTAAATTCAATAAAAATGTTTGAAATAAATTTTATAGGTTTTAAATTTATAATAAGAGAAATTTCATAGGATATACCTAAAAAAATTTTTTCACAAATATAGACCTTAAAAATAAAAATGACAAAATAGGCTTAAATGTCAAAAATAACTAAATATACATTTATACCCTTTGGATTAAATAATCATAAACTTTTTTGTTTAGAGTTGAGAAGTGGGGTTTTCGGGGTAGGATTTCAAAGTTAAAAAAAAAAAACTTACAATATTCATAATAAAAAATGTTATTTTGGTCATTTTATTTTTAGAAGTCTATTTTTGTGATAAAAAATTTAAATAGTCTATTTGCGAGATTTACCCTTATAATAATGTGTAGATTCTATTTTTTTACTGATTTTATATTTATAAGTAACGTGTAGATTCCGATATCTATTGATTTTATAGGGATGGGTTAAGCGGGGAATGTATATTCCAAATAATTTATGACTAGGTGTTTTCCGGCACCATGTGCAGTGAGAAATTTTTTAAGTTTAAATTATATTTAATAATATTTTTATTAATATTATAGATTTTCTTATTTTCTTACCAATATTTAAATTTAGATTTGATTTAGTTAAACATTAAAATAAGATGAAATAATTTTTTTATTTGAAAATATACTTAAGAATATATATATATATATATATGTATATATTTAAAATTATAATTTAGATAGATTTTTCTATCCATTTATATTAATTAACTATACTGAGTTAATGTGTATATAAAATGAATAAAAGTGATATAAAATTGTATAATTATCAAAAATTTAAACTAAACAGTATTTATAAAATTCATAGATATAACTAATGATTTTGCAATTAGAAATTTATATTTTTATAAAATTGCAGCAATTTTTGTAAACCGTAGTAATACAAATTGTATAATATTAAAAATATAATAGAATAATATTTCAAAATTTATAATGTTATATTTGAATATATTTATTTTAAAGATGATGTATGAGTTATTATCATATTTTTTTTTACCATAAATAAATATCAACATTAAATGTAAAGTATGTGTTATTACTATAATTAAAAAGTTTACCAAAAATATAAATCATTATTAAATGTAATTATCCATGTCATATTTTTCTATAAGGCATGTCATCAATTTTAGTATCCATGTCACATATTTTTGTCAAACAGATTGTAGAGATGACATGTTGTAAAATCATTTGGCAAATAATATATAACTAGGATAAGACCTGCGCCTTACGCATGGTAAATATATGTAATTAAAATATAAAATTTTAGTATTGACAAATTTAAAATTTACACATGATTATTTTTATATGTATTTGAAATTTTAGAATTTTGGAATTTTTATATAATTATCTATACATAAGATCATAAACAATTGTAATTATAATTGTAGATCATAGTTTAGAATTTAATGGACCCGACTTCATATATGTTTTCACTTTTCTGTGTTCGAGTGATGGAAAATAAACGGAGTGTCACTAGGCTTGATTGGTAGAGTATTAGCAAGTCCTCTAATGCTTTCTTAAGAAGTAGTTGATAAATATTTTCATTTAAAATATATAAGTTTCAAAACTAATTTAATATAATTTGTTTATTTGTCTATTATTATTAGAAAATTATATTTTTTACAATGTTTTTAAAAATAAGTTTATAAAAAATTAAGTGAAATTTTAAATTATTTAAAAACAATATTTTAAGTTTTTCAAATACAAATAAACAATTTAAAATTAATTATGGTCATGATTTAACATAACCATAATGAATTAAAAATATTTAAAAATTTAAAAATTAACAAATTAAACATTAACTCAGTTTTATATCATGATTTAACAATTTAAAAACTAATTATGGTTATGAGAACTTTACGTTCATGTGTCTATCCTATTTATCTTCAATTTTTTCTCTTGTTGTGTTTTATTTTATTTTGGTTATTACTCGATATAAATATTTATTTTGAAGTTTATTCTCATTTTGTTTGTTTGTTTTGACCTAAGATTTAGAAAATACGTAAGATTTAAAATAATTAAAGAGATACATACTTAGGTTAAAATCTGCACTTTATGCACAATAAATATTTTATATTTATTATTTCTTTTATATTTTTATGCATATTATAAAATAATAAAATAATAAAAATATATATTAAGTAACTAAGAAATCAGTTACTATTATGTAATAAATTGGCGTATGCATATAATTTAACTATCACTCTTGTTTATTCGCAATTAGGGTAAATAAATCAAAATAATCAATCTTATATATTGTATATGATATATAATTAAATTTAAATGATATAAACATATTAATATAGCACACTTTTAAAATGGATATTTATTAAATGAGGTTTCTACTCATATGATTATATGATTATTTGCATATTTGTGTAACAAAACTTTACACCAACAATTTTTTTTTAATTTGAGATGTTTAGTAGTTTCAATAATTTATAATCATTTAAAAAAAATAATGACATATTTCAAAATCAAAATACTAACTTTTCAATATATGTTTAATGCAAATATCAAAATATAAGTATGTATTTTCATATGATGTATAATTTAATTAAAACGATATGAAGTATATAGAAACTAAAAATATTTCTACATATGGTCTTATAATCATTATATTTTAATATAGAAAAAAATTAAAACCTTGATCCTAAAATTTTATGTCAGACTTTTAATAGTTTAAGTAATTTATACTCATTTTGAAAAATTCGAAATACAACATACACAAAAAAATCTAGATTTTTATTTTATGATTAATGTAATAGTGTAATTTATTTTAATAATAAATAAATAAACAAAATGAGAAAAACTATACAGATTGTTATGAAATCTTTATTGTTTAAAATCACTAGATGGATAGTCCCCGCGCAAGCGTGGGGGTTGGATACGTTGTTGATGTGTTGTGTAGTTTTGTGTATGAGACTTTGCTGTTTTTTTTTTAACATTTGTTTATCTGGCTTATATATAATGGTGATGAATGAAAAATTAGAAGTCACACAACTTGATTAGTCTGATAAAAGAATAAACATTGAATTCATATGGGTTGATATTTTCATATTTTATCTTCGTAGTGATTTTATCGAGCATTCCCTTTATTAGTGATTTTATCGAGCATTACTGTTTTAGTGCTTTCATGTAAAAAAATAATTTAATGGAGACAAGACAAAAAATGACATGTGTTTATTAGTGTAATTTTTTTCTGAAATTATGTTGTATATATATATATATATATATATTTTTTTTTAATTGTGATGTATATGAGATTTATGGTCGATCTGAATGGTTCGGGGTAAATATTTATCATTGAAAAAATATGTTTTTATTTTATTTGATGATTATAACTGAATTGAAATGATATTGGAGGTTAGAACATGATAACATTTCTTATAAAAGTATCTAAGATGGTCTCATAAAGTTTCAAATCCTTAAGTCATTTTGTATCTCAACAACCAGCATAAAAAATCATTCTTAATCTTCCTAAGCTTTTAGGTATCCCGAAAAGCCCAAATTATAAAAAAAAAAAATTACATGCAAGCACTGCATTTCGAACCCGCGCACTCGCGGTAC